GATCACTGGTGCCAGAGCATTCTGTGAAGGAAGCTTCCCAAGGATGTGATGAATTGATCGGTGGTGTTGTTGTGATTTTGGCAGGCTGGGCTTTGGCGAGAGGGCTGCTCGAGGATGTTGCAGGGGTTTCAGAGATGATCAGACACGATCTTTACACTTGGCAGGAGACAGACAGGCACATAAATAACTCATGTAAAGGCGGGTGGAGAGCAATGTTGTGATCAAGGTTAAGTGAGGCCTCGCCGGAGCCTGGCTCTTCATTCTGGTTAGAGCATCAGGGACAGACTCTTAGAGGCAGCGTGGTTTGAGGAGTCGAGGAGAGGCGGGCAGATCTGGGAGAGAGATGGAGGGAGGGCAGTTCAGGTCAGAGCACAGCCTGAGCAAAGGCTCCGAGGTAAGAACAGGCAGGGCATGCTTAGAGAAGGACAGACAGATGAGACATGCGGGGGCCCATGCGTGTGATGGGGGGGGGGGGCGGCATGACATGGTGGGAAAGGCTGGAAAGGAACAAGGTGGGAGAGGTCGGGCTCTCAGGTAAGCAGTTTGGAGGATACTTGATATGCAGTGGGAGGACACTAACAGTTTTGGGCAGGGGTCTGGGTTGGGAAGTGGGGGCTGGTATGGGGGAGGGAGAGGGTGTGTGTGTGTGTGTGTGTGTGTGTGTGTGTGTGTGTAGGGGGCTGGTTAGGAGGACACTGGATGCCATGAGCTGACTGCATGTGTGACCTCGGACAAGTTCACTCCCCTCCCCTGGCCTCTTCTTCCTCATCTCTAAAACGGAATCGACCCGTTCCAGGGGGTTTGCTGTGAGGCTTAGAGGGTGTGGGTTTGTCCATCATTGGTAAAGCACATAAGGCCTGTGACTTGGTGAAGGCCGATGGGGATGGTGTGGAGGGAAGATGATAAAGAGGACTACGTGGTAAGGGATTCCCTCACATTATTTCATGTAGTCCTTGCCCCAACCCTTCAAAGTGGGTGTTATTGTCACTCCCATGTTACCAATGAGGAATCTGGGACTCGTGGCGGGAAGATCACTGAGCCACAGTTGGTAAGTTGAATCCAGGCCAGGGTGCCTGCAGGGTGGAGGACAGGGCCTTCCACTTGCCTCACGGGAGTGGAAGGAGAGGGAGCCCCAAGGAGGCAGAGGTGGTGCTTGTAGCTGAGGGGGTTTGCATCCCGCAAGAGGCACGGGGAAGTGGTGAGTGAGGAGAGAATTTGGGTGCGCGTGGTCCCAGAGTGGGTCTACTTCTCCCGCAGCCTGGGGGCCTGTGTGTGCTTGGTGGGGTCAAGGGCAGCGCTGTTGTGTCTATCAGCCTGGAAGTGAGGGGACATCACTATCAGGTTTTGGTTCTGCCACATCTTTGGGCAGGCCCTGTGCCTGCTCTGGGCCTCATGTCCTCATCTGTAAAACAAAGCTCTTGGAACAGATGAGTGACCTCTGGGGGTTCTCCTCATCCTAATGACCTAAGACTTCATGATCAGCAGAGTCCTCAAATTAAAAAAAAAAAAAAAAGATACTATACATAGTATACTCATGGTTCAAATTCAAAAAGCACTAAAACAGTGCTCCTCAGCCACTCAGTTCCCCTTCTTGGAGGCAACTGGTGTTACCAGTTTCTCCTGCAGAGATGGCAACAGTGTTATTCAGGGCTGAGTCCCAGGGAGTCCACGGACGGGGAAAGGTGTAGAAACTTGTCATCAGAATAGGATGGGATTAATCAGGGTGGGCTTCCTGGAGGAACCACACTTTGAACCAGGTTTTACAGAAGGGGAGTCATCTTGGTGCAGGAAGCATATCACAGAGGAGGGTCGCGTCCCAAACGGAAGTCACAATCTTCCCTCCCAAACCTGCTCCTGTCCAGCGTGAATGGCACTGTGGCCAACTGCCCACTCCAACTAGGAACTGGGGAACAACTTTGCTGCCGGTCTCCCCTTCACCCATGTCCAACCCATCACCCTGTGCAACCAACACTGCCTCCTTAGCTCACTCAAGAGTCCTCCCATTTTTTTTTTTAAAGATTTTATTTATTTGACAGAGAGAGACACAGCGAGAGAGAGAACACAAGCAGGGGGAGTGGGAGAGGGAGAAGCAGGCTTCCCATGGAGCAGGGAGCCTGATGCGGGGCTCGATCCCAGGACCCTGGGATCATGCCCTGAGCTGAAGGCAGACGCTTAACCAACTGAGCCACCCAGGCACCCCACAATTTTTTTTTCATAGCACTTTCTGTAGTTCGTGGTTTCTCCCTCTCTCTCTCTTTCTCACACACACACCCCCCATGTGGAATAGGTAATACCTCTCCTGTATGAAAACATACATTGTTAAAAAGTCACTCTCCCATGCCCCCATTCACCCAGTTCTGTTTTTATTAGCTTTTGTGTTTCCAGAATTTCTCTCTATAAAGATAAACAAATATGAATTCATATTTTATTCTCCCCCCCCCTTTTTTTTTAAAGATTTTATTTATTTGACAGAGAGAGACACAGCGAGAGAGTGAACACAAGCAGGGGGAGTGGGAGAGGGAGAAGCAGGCTTCCTGCCGAGCAGGGAGCCCGATGTGGGACTTGATCCCAGGATCCTGGGATCATGACCTAAGCCGAAGGCAGACGCTTAACGACTGAGCCACCCAGGCGCCCCTCTCCCCCCCCTTTTTTTTAAATTTTTTATTCTTATGTTAATCCCCACACATTACATCATTAGTTTTAGATGTGGTGTTCCATGATTCATTGTTTGTGCACAACACCCAGTGCTCCATGCAGAATGGGCCCTCCTCAATACCCACCACCAGGCTAACCCATCCTCCCACCCCCCTCCCCTCTAGAACCCTGTTTGTTTTTCAGAGTCCATTGTCTCTCATGGTTCGTCTACCCCTCCGATTTCCCCCGCTTCATTCTTCCCCTCCCGCTAGCTTCTTCTTCTTCTTCTTCTTCTTTTTTTTTTCTTAACATATATTGCATTATTTGTTTCAGAGGTACAGATCTGAGATTCAACAGTCTTGCACAATTCGCAGCGCTTACCAGAGCACATACCCTCCCCAGTGTCTATCACCCAGTCACCCCATCCCTCCCACCCCACCCCCCACTCCAACAACCCTCAGTTTGATTCCTGCGATTAAGAATTCCTCATATCAGTGAGATCATATGATGCATGTCTTTCTCTTTTTGACTTATTTCACTCAACATAATACCCTCCAGTTCCATCCACATCGTTGCAAATGGCAAGATCTCATTCCTTTTGATGGCTGCATAATATTCCATTGTATATATATACCACATCTTCTTTATCCATTCATCTGTCGATGGACATCTTGGCTCTTTCCACAGTTTGGCTATTGTGGACATTGCTGCTATAAACATCGGGGTGCACGTACCCCTTCGGATCCCTACTTTTGTATCTTTGGGGTAAATACCCAGTAGTGCAATTGCTGGATCATATGGTAGCTCTATTTTCAACTTTTTGTCTCTCCCCCTTTTTTAACATAAATTACACATATGGCTATTTCTGCACTTGTTTTTTTTTTTTTTTTAAACAATGTATCTTGAAGATCTTTGCATGATAGTGCACAGAGAATATCCTCATTTAAAACATCTTTAATGACTGCATACTGTTTTTTCCATATGGTTGTACCATAATTTATTTAATTAGTCTCCTACTGATGACTGCTTAGGCTGTTCCCAGACTTTTGCTCTTATACACAATGCCACAGGGGCACCTGGCAGTTGGAAGAATATGCGACTCTTGATCTTGGGGTCGTGAGTTTGAGCCCCATGTTGGGTGTAAGGATTACTAAAACAAACAAACAAACAAACAAAAAACCCAAAAACCAATGCCCCACTTAACCTTGTTCACATGGTAGAATCTGTAGATAAATTCTCTGAAAGGGGATCCTTGTCCTACAAAGGAAGTGCACTTGTAATTTATTTTTTTTAATTAAAAGAATTTTTAAAGATTTTATTTTATTTATTTTTCTAAATTAATTTATTTGACAGAGAGAGAGAGAGAGAGAGAGAGCGCACAAGCAGGGGGAGCGGCAGGCAGAGGGAGAAGCAGGCTCCCTGCTCCAGAGGCAGTCGCTTAACCAGCTGAGCCACCCAGCCGTTCTACCAATTTTATTTTTAAGCAATCTCTATACCTAACCTGGGGCTTGAACTTACAACCCTGAGATCAAGAGTCACACGCTCTATTGACTGAGCCAGCCAGGCGCCCCTGCACTTGTAATTTAGACAAGTGTTGTTAGGTTGTCCAGCAGAGGAGTTATCCCAACTGACACTCTTGCTGGTAATGTACGAGAGGGCCTGTCTGTAATGATATATTGTTCATGTGACTATTTGGTGGTTTCTCTCTCCAGAAGACTGTAAACTCCAGGGATTAAGTCTCTCTTGCTCATCATCGTAGATAATAAATGTTGAACTCATGAATGGATTCACACTTCAGGAGGGTGTGGCCAGAATGGGAGGGACCCGCTTGTCTTCACCTTGCCCAGCCCAGTTTCCTTCATTCTTACTGTAGGCTTACTGTCCATCCAGACAGTGGCTGAGACCCTGTGAGAGGTTCTGGAAGAACCTAATCCTGACATCTGCCTCATGATCCACACTCCAGGGCAGCCCTTCTCCTGCTGGGAAATCAGGAAGTCCAGTATCTCAGTCCTATAAGGAGCTTGGAAAATGATCCCTTGTCTAATGCTTGAATCCCTTGCCTAGCCTCTGCTTACATTCTTCCAGCGACAGGGAACTCACCCCTTCCAAGTGACTCCTTTCAATTTTAGACAGCTAACTTTCAGAAAGCTTTTCCATCAGTGAGTTGAAACCCTGTGGCTGCCTCCTCTTCAGGGTATTCTAACTGTGACCTTGTGGAAACAGGGCTTTCTGGCAGATGAGCAGGGGGGAGGTTTGGGGACAGGTACCCCTCAGTGATCTTTTTCCAGCAATCAGGGTTAACTTCCCAAAGAAGCTGTGCAGAGTGCTGCCTGCCATCCCCTCACTCTCTCCTGTCCTGCCCGCAGGTACGTGCAGGAAGGACGGTTCCGAGTTGAGGAGAGGACCCTGACAGCCTTCCAGTGGCTTTACAGCCCACAGCAGCATGGCATCCTCAGCCGCGCCGACCTTGAGTCTCCCTCCAGGTAAAGGGACCCACAGCCCTTGTTCTCCAAAGGCAGTACTTATGGAGCCGGCTGCACACTGGTTGCAAATCTGCCATGGGGGATCACTGCCCTCGGGGCAGAGGAGCCTCCCAGGGTTCTGGAAAGAGTATGTCAGCCTGGGTGCTTGTTCAGCCTAGAAGGCATGGAGTGATTTGAAGCAGATCACTGCCTCTGCTTTCTCCTCTGTAAAATGGGTATGATTACATATTCCCTGCCTTCTATCAGGAAGATCATGAGTCTCAAGGGAAATGACGCCTGCAGAGAATCCTAAGGCCTAGGGGTCAGTTGGTTCCTCTTTAAGAGGGAGAGTGGCTGTCATATTTGCTGGGCAGCCTCCCCAGCCCTCCTTGACCTGGGTGGATGGAGCCAGCCCTGCCTTCCTCATCTCCTCCTTCCCTCCTCAGGGCACCCAGCTGGGAGCCTGAGTCTGAATGAGGGGCTGGGAGAAGAGGGCTTTTCCTGGCCCAGATCCCCGCTCCCAGCCTCCTGCCCCCTCTTCCACCACATTGGACCGATGTGATGAGCATTAGCAGTCTCCACAGAGATCCTGGGTAACCCTGCTGTGGCCTCACCCCTTCCCAAGGCTTTTGCTAGACCTGATCCCGAACCTTTCTTCCATGTTCCCCCTCAAGACCACTTTGCACCAGCTCCTAAATTAGTAGACCCTTACAGCCAAGAGTGAGCAAGCCTCACTTCCGCGGGGTGGTTTAAATGAAAGAAGAGTGGAGGTGGTATCATTTGGGGGGTATATCATGGGCTGGCCAACAAGAGAACAGGGGTGATGCTCTACTGCTTCTCCCCAGCTGACCCCAGGAATAAGATTTAGAAGTCAGGGAGACTTCACCTCCTAGATATCTGCCAGGAATCCTATTTAGCTAAGAGCAGTGCATCTGCTCCCTCTTGTCTCATTGAGATTTCGGTAGGTACAGGAAATAGTGAGGTGGCTGGGTACTCTGGATCTCGATCTGATACTCTGGAGGAAGAATTAACTGGAGGATGATGTGGAAGTGACAGGACCTCTGGGAAAGGTGACTCAGGCCACCTGGGAACTCTCGGTAGTCAGGGAGTGGGTAGTCAGACAAACGCCCTGGACTCCGGAGGGTGGATTTCAAATAATGTAGAGAACAGACAGAAAATCCCCTGGAGCTTGAGGCAAGACTATTGGGAAGGCTGCCAAAATGAAATTCTGAGTGTACAGCTGTGAATGCTTGCAGGGAAAAAGAAAGAGGCCAGTGTGGCTGCCCTTGGAGCAGGGGAGCGCACATGGACATGAGGGCACAGGGTTGGGGTCAGTTGCAGGCAATGTGCAAAACCCTAATGTGTGCCATTCACCTCTGACATAATAAAGTAGCTTCTCCCTCACCTTCTCTCCTTTCCTTCAAAGTTCTTGCCACTATCTGACCTTCTCTTGTTGGTCTGTTTGTTCATTGTCCATGACACCGCTCCCCCTCATAAGGTTTATGAGGGCAGGGCCTTCTCCAGCTTGTTCTTTGCTGTATCCTGAGGCCCTGTGTCAGAGAAGGAGTTCATGAAACAGGTACTGGGGGAATGACAGACAAACACAATGCAGGCTCAGAACCTGTAGGAAGGCTGGGAGAGAGGCTAGGCTCCCAGACTCCAAGACAAGTAGGCCAGCTGTACCTGCCCAAGGTAACAGCAAGGGGAGAAGAGGAGGATGAGACCTCCTGCCCATGCAGGTGGCCTGGAGCTGACAGAGCTGCTCTGTCTTCTGAGCCAAAGAGCAAGAACACATTTGAGAGTCACAGGAGTAGGGGTGCCTGGGTGGCTCTGTCGGCTCAGGTCATGATCTTGGGGTCCTGGGTTCGAGCCCCGTGTCGGATTCCCTGCTCATCGGGGAGTCTGCTTCTCCCTCTCCCACTCCCCCTGCTTGTGCTCTCTATCTCTGCCAGATAAATAAATAAAATCTTAAGAAAAAAAAAATGAGAGAGAGCCACAGAAGTAGAGCTGAGTCCTTGGAGGAGGGCAGCAATCATAAGACAGGATGGACCCATTTGAAATAAAATCAGTTTTCATACTTGGGAAGGCTACATCCCGGGGGAGTTGAAGAGGAGGCTGCCATATTCTGTACTAATTTTTGTGACAATATTAATAGTTAATTTTTTGAGGGCTTATTATGTGTCATGTGTAAATGCTTTATAAGAATAAATTGATTTAATCTTCATAACAATGCTATGATTTAAGTACTCTTGTTCTCCCCATTTTTCAGATGACTCAACCAAGGCACAGGGGTTAAATAACAGCTAGTAAGTTGCAATGCATATAACCATCATGCACACTGCCTCTCAGAGAATAAGGTGTGTGCCCAAAGGCAGGAGATAGCTAAGGTAATGTCTATCTTTACAAAGAGGAAATAAGTCCAGAAACCATAAATAAGGAACTCAGGATTTGTCCTGGTCACATTTCAGAGTTTGTTTTTATTTTTTTTTAAAGATTTTATTTATTTATTTGAGAGAGAGAGAATGAGAGACAGAGAGCATGAGAGGGAGGAGGGTCAGAGGGAGAAGCAGACTCCCTGCTGAGCAGGGAGCCCGATGCGGGACTCGATCCCAGGACTCCAGGATCATGACCTGAGCCGAAGGCAGTTGCTCAACCAACTGAGCCACCCAGGTGCCCCAGAGTTTGTTTTTAAAGAGATGATTTGGTAGAGGTGGATGATTAGCAGCAGCAAGTGAATTCGCTGAGAACCCATCCTGCTGGGGGAAGCTTATTCACTTTTCCGATTAGTTTTCTAGACTAGAAATTAGGTTGGGGGTGGCAGAACAGAAGACTGTAGTTCTGAGTCTGATGAGTGGGCTGCCATTGGCTGCGTCCTGCTCCACACGTTTATGAGTGGGTTGTTGAGGAAGGATGTGGAGAGCTGGTGACATTGCTGATGGCAGGAACCTGGGCACCATCCCAACAGGCAAGATGGCAGAATGGGGACTCAAAATGCCCTGGAGGCTGGATTCCAGGTCCAAGTCTAGTAGGTACAATTTAACAGGGATGAAGGAGAAATCTATTTTGGCCTCCAGTCCTGCCTATACCTGGGAGCAAGACAAGGGAATCAGAGCTGTCTGAGGGGTTCCGATTGACTAGAAGCTTGGGTCTGGCCCCATGATTTAGGTTTTAAGAAAATGCTTGCATCTTGGGGCTGCAAGAGCTCAGAGCAGAGTCCAGCGCAGGGGAAGGAAGGCCCTGCTGTTCTGAGTCTCAGACTCTAAGAGGAAGGTTCCTTCATTTGTTCATTTGTTTGGTGGCCTGGGGCTAAGTGCCTTTCCTCTGGTAACACTGCACCAGATATTACCCTGGAATGGCTGAGCAGGTTGCATTTCAGGATGATGGATAAAGCTGCTGAAAGGACTCAGACCATGGGCTGGCCACCTCTGTCTTCCTTTCTTCCTTCTCCCTGCTCTGGGTCAGGCCTTGGTGTTACAGGGTCTCGTGGTAAGGCAGACAAGGATTCTGCCTCCATGGGGCACATATTCTAGTGGGAGATAGACCATAGGCACATAGACAAGAGAATTTCCTATGACGACCAGAGTGCTGAAGGTGCTAAAACAGGGCATCAAGAAAGGGGGACCAGTGTGTGTGTGTGTGTGGGACTTTGGATGAGGTGGAAAGCCTCTCTGAGAAGCTGAGTCCTGAAGGATGCAAGGGTAGCCATATGGAGAAGCTGCTGGTGGATAGGGGAAGGGGACACAGGAGATGGGATGGAAGAGAATTGCAGGGCGGGGAACAGCAAGGACAAGGCCCTGAGTATATTCTAGAAGCAGAAAGCCATTGTGGCCAGAGCAGAGTGATGCTGTGGGCAACAGACAGAAGGGAGGCAGATTTCCATGAAGCTGAAGAATGGCTTTTAGCACTTAGATTTGCCTGAGGACAGCATGGGCTGCCCCCTGAGGGAGTGAGTTTCTCATCCCTGAAGTGTACAAGCCGTATTCCAGAGGCCGCCTGGTGTGGAGGTTACCAAGGAAAGGACTCAGGCACCCCAAAGGCTGCCTAGAGGACCCCTTCAAGTTCGGGAGCGTCCTTGGTTTGGCAGAAGCTGGGAGGAAGTCTGTGGCGTGAACGAGCGAAAGCTCCCGGCCGCCGGGTACAAAGCAGGGGCAGCTTCAGGGCTTTGGCCGTCCCAGAGGCCTCCTGCCTCCAAATCCAGAAAACACTGTACCTCCTCGCTAGGCCCACCCCACACAGAGCTGGAGAGAGCCTCGGAGTGTCCACCTCAATAGACCAGGAACCCAGGGATCTTTCCACACCTCCCCTCCCCACCGCCCCGGAGCCCCATGCTCCAGAAACTTCTGTGGGCTGGTGGGCTGTTCCCTCCTCTCCCCCGGGTCCCTTGGGCGCGCCCGCCCCGCCTCGCGCCTTTGTTCCCGAGGAGCCGCCGCGGGAAGCTTGCTGGCGCCGGCGACGAGAGCTTCCCCAGTGCGGGCTCGGCGCTCGGGACCCGCCGCAACCCCCCCCCCCCCGACCCCCCTTCAGCAGCTGCGCGGCGGCAGCGCTGGGCGAGCCGGGCGGGCACCGCCAGGACCCGGCGCGCGCCCCTAGCTGGCGGGCGCGCGGCTCGGGCGGCGGGGGGCGCGCCCGCCAGGTGTGCGGGCGGCCGCCGGGCGCGGAGGGCGCAGCTTTGTGCGTTCGCAGCCGCCTGCCGGCCGTGCGCGTGTGCGGCGGCGGTGACGGCGCACGCGGCTGGGCGGGCTGCGAGGGAAGCCCGCCGCCGGGAGGGGGCTTGGGTCCGGATGGAGGCGGGAGGACGCCGCCGTTGCGGGCGCACGGGCGGGGTGAGCCGCCGCCGCTGACTGTTGACATTCTGTCCGCATCGAGGAGTGAGCTCTGGGCGCCGTGCGTCGGAGAAGGTCAGTGGGTCCGGGGCTGGGTGGGGATTCCATGAACAGCCTGGATCGGGGCGCGAGTCCTGGGTGTAACTGAGCGTGGAACCGGGGTGTCTGTTGAGAGTGTAAATGCGTGTGTTTGCAAAG